AAGATTAAAATAAGGATTAAACGAATAGAATTGATTGATTGATTGTTGATTGACTCAGCTTTTAAAATGTAACAGACTGAAACTATTTACATTCTGTCTTTAGTGTTATTTTAGTATCCGCTGGCGTAGGTATAATTTCACTAATATTTGTATTTATTTTTATATTTTCTGTTTTCAGTTTTTAGTTTAATTGTGTTGTGTGTTTTTGTCATTTTTATAAATGTCTATATAGTTTATTTTAAATTTTTGTTCCTTTAGTTTTATTTTGATCTATTATAGAACATCAAGTTAAACTGGGATGTTTCCCAGGCAAGTGACTTAAATAAAATATGTTTATGTTTTTTGTATATTTTATTTTATTTCAGTTAATATTTACTTAATTTCAAGTAACTTTTTTTTTTTTTGTTAATATTAATTATCCTGGATCAGAATGTCTTGCATCTATCTTTGCGTCTCTTTGTGTTTATAGTCACTTTTATGCTGCACATTAACTTTTATTTGTGCACACTGCCGACAAAATCAAGAGTTGTGTTGAGAATCTAAAAGCTACCTTGCTGCTTTGAAAACTGCCCCGCCTTGCTTTCATATCTCCTTCAGAAACTGCAAATCTAATTTAGATCGTTCCAGTTTTTATTGTGAGACACTAGATGTGTCAAACTGCATTCTCATGGGCTTTTATGCATTCTTCTTCTCTCCGTATCCCCCGATGTGTGTCTTCTCTCCTCTGCTGGAGGCTGGTGTAAGTGCAGCGCTGTATTGAGGTCAGCAGCAGATCAGTGCGCTTTACAGACAGCAGCAGATAAACAGCAGCGTGTCAACACTCTTTGTACGGATTTGCAATCTGTATAAGTGTGTGTGTGGGATGCATTTGTATGTTTCCCACTCGTTCTATTTCTTCCATCACTCACACAGTAGTCTAGCAGTGATGAATGTGGAATGCTTGCTCTGTTAAACCGGCTGCCGCTGCACAAATAATACATTGTAAAATCACAGAGGCGTCCATCTTGGCTCTGGATCCTGCACAGTTTCCTCAGACCTCTGTCCTCGTGTGGGCTGGGAACTGCCAAAGCGTTGGGATTGGTTTGTTTGTCGTGGAGCGTGGAGCTCGCGGTGTATCATGCCACGTCTCGGTGTTTTGACAGCATGATGGTGCGGAGGATAACAGCGCTGGTCGTGAGCTCGGCTAGAGGGAGACAGAGAGAAACTTTGGCCTTGACTTGCGCTCTTGGTCACTAGCGAGTGTGTGCATGTGACAGGAAGTAAGAGTGCAAGACTGTTTTGTCTGGTTTTCAAATACAAATGTTGAAACTTGCTTAAATCCAGATGGATTTAGTTGAGATGTGAATTGAACATGATGCAGTCTTGTTTGAGTTTATGCTTAAAGCGAGAACACATATCTCTCAATAGGGGAAATTAAACTTGTTTTGTCTTTGAAGTTTTTTCTGAGGCCAGTGGCAGATATTTGTTCTTGCTTTAATCATAAACTTAATCATTTTCTCATAAAACAAGACTTCTGGTTTAGTGTCATTTTGCTTCTCAAGTAAATGCATCTTGATTTACGATTGTTTTTGACATTTACACTGGAAAACAAAGTATTTATTTATTTAGTGAAATGAATGAAAAAGTAATGCAGATATATTACAATGTTGAAACATTAAAATGCATTTACATTCCGAGACCATATTGGCATATTGTGTCTTAAAACGTCTTAAATTTACTGTCATAAAAATTGTGCAGCGTCTAGAAAAACTTCTTAGTGTAAGTTAAATTAATTATATATTACTTATATAATTTGCTTGTAAAACATAATATGTTATGATTATGTGCATTTTGTCTCTTAATTAGAAGCACCACAACATTACCAATGTGTTTATAATATATAACAATTTCGAAAGCACACCAAAAACAAATATGCTAATAACGAACACACTGCTTGATTTAAAAACGCAGGTATCAATTGAAATATGAAAAAAAAAAAAAAAAAATGCATGTAGTCTTCAGGTATTTTTAAATTAAGTTCAAATTCAGCTTGACGTTTATAAGAAGTAAGCAAATAAACAAACAAACAAATACATAAATAAACAAGAAAAGTGAACCAATTAAAATAATACAATTGTGCTGAAAAAAACTCAAACAAAAGGTACAAAAACCTCAAAAACTTAGGACACTCACACATGCATACGGGACTAGTCATAGAAAGGGTTTTAGCCTCGCTCGTATAACTGAAAGACGTTTTTAGGGTATCCTGATATCACTCGACGCTAATATATGAAGCAGAGCTTACAGATACGCTTGTGTGCTGATCTGTTCATTCTGTCTGTCTTTCAGAGAATGTCTGAATACAGCTCGATGTTGAGTGATCTGTCTGAGAACATCACTAATGAAGACCTGGAGCAGCTGAAGTCGGCCTGTAAGGAGGACATCCCCGAAGACCAGAGCAACTCCATCACCTGCTCCAGAGACTGGTTCAGTTACCTGGAGAACAATGACAAACTGGCACAAGGTGAGGAGGACTCTGGACAGATGCATCTAGCATGAGAATGAATGTGCTCTCACTCAGGCTGCGTGCACGAGTCGAACAGAGATTAGAATAAAGTTACCAGTCACTGATAATCTTCCTCTCTGGCTCTCAAATATCATTTACATTTATGTTCAAAATATTGAAACATCCTGTTATAGGTCACGAGAAAAGGAAGAACCAGTGCTATTTGACACAACAAGATGTCGCAAAATCGTACATATTACATAAATAACACACTTAAGTCAAGTCACCTTTATTTACAGTATATAGCGCTTTTAACAATACAGGTTGTGTCAAAGCAACTTTACAGCATTACATAAGAAAATAGTGTGTCAATAATGCAAAACGACAATAGTAAACACTCAATTTTCAGTTAACATTGAATTAAAGGAATATACTTAAGTGTGAACTTAATGCACATTTTTTGGACACTTAGTTACGTGTTAATTGCAATTAAAGTATTATAGTTTAAATGTATATTAAATACAATATATGCTGAACATTAGAGTGTTCTGACCCACTTAAGTAGGACTTAAGTACATCTTTGTATGCAATTTCATAATAACGTCTATTTTCTTTGAAATATAATTGAAGTACCGCTGAATGCACTGACAAGCATGTATGATCAACTAAAATATACTTTAATGTCATTTCTATTGAAACTTGTGTCATGTATTTTAATATACTTGTAATGGTGAAGTTGCAATTTAGTGCAGATTAAGCATTTAAATCTATTAACTTTAAATGTAATATTGGATAAAATACATTTAAAATCATAATCAAGTACTTTAGGTTTACTTAAACAGTGATTTAAAATGTACGTAATTTGCCTTTATCACAAAGATCACTTTTTAAAAGTGTCCTTAAGTGTGTTTAGAAACATTGTCGCTCTTTAAGTCACTTAAGTGGCCTTTTATTTAATTCGTATTATATTATCTGCAAGTACAGTTTTAAACATATACAGTGGGGCAAAAAAGTATTTAGTCAGCCACCAATTGTGCAAGTTCTCCCACTTAAAAAGATGAGAAAGGCCTGTAATTTTCATCATAGGTATACCTCAACTATGAGAGACAAAATGAGAAAAAAAAATCCAGAAAATCACATTGTAGGATTTTTAAAGAATTAATTGGTAAATTCCTCTGTAAAATAAGTATTTGGTCACCTACAAACAAGCAAGATTTCTGGCTCTCACAGACCTGTAACTTCTTCTTTAAGAGGCTCCTCTGTCCTCCACTCGTTACCTGTATTAATGGCATCTGTTTGAACTCGTTATCAGTATAAAAGACACCTGTCCACAACCTCAAACAGTCACACTCCAAACTCCACCATGGCCAAGACCAAAGAGCTGTCAAAGGACACCAGAAACTAAATTGTAGACCTGCACCAGGCTGGGAAGACTGAATCTGCAATAGGTAAGCAGCTTGGTGTGAAGAAATCAACTGTGGGAGCAATGATTAGAAAATGGAAGACATACAAGACCACTGATAATCTCCCTCGATCTGGGGCTCCACGCAAGATCTCACCCCATGGGGTCAAAATGATCACAAGAACTGTGAGCAAAAATCCCAGAACCACACAGGGGGACCTAGTGAATGACCTGCAGAGAGCTGGGACCAAAGTAACAAAGGCTACCATCAGTAACACACTGCACCGCCAGGGACTCAAATCCTGCAGTGCCAGACGTGCCCCCCTGCTTAAGCCAGAACATGTCCAGGCCCGTCTGAAGTTTGATAGAGAGCATTTGGATGATCCAGAAAAGGATTGGGAGAATGTCATATGGTCAGATGAAACCAAAATAGAACTTTTTGGTAAAAACTCAACTTGAGGAGAAAGAATGCTGAGTTGCATCCAAAGAACACCATACCTACTGTGAAGCATGGGGGTGGAAACATCATGCTTTGGGGCTGTTTTTCTGCAAAGGGACCAGACGACTGATCCGTGTAAACGAAAGAATGAATGGGGCCATGTATCGTGAGATTTTGAGTGAAAACCTCCTTCCATCAGCAAGGGCACTGAAGATGAAACGTGGCTGGGTCTTTCAGCATGACAATGATCCCAAACACACCGCCCGGGCAACGAAGGAGGGGCTTCGTAAGAAGCATTTCAAGGTCCTGGAGTGGCCTAGCCAGTCTCCAGATCTCAACCCCATAGAAAATCTTTGGAGGGAGTTGAAAATCCGTGTTGCCCAGCGACAGCCCCAAAACATTACTGCTCTAGAGGAGATCTGCATGGAGGAATGGGCCAAAATACCAGCAACAGTGTGTGAAAACCTTGTGAAGACTTACAGAAAACATTTGACCTCTGTCATTGCCAACAAAAGGTGTATATAACAAAGTATTGAGATGAAATTGTGTTATTGACCAAATACTTATTTTCCACCATAATTTGCAAATAAATTCTTTAAAAATCCTACAATGTGATTTTCTGGATTTTTTTTCTCATTTTGTCTCTCATAGTTGAGGTATACCAATGATGAAAATTACAGGCCTCTCTCATCTTTTTAAGTGGGAGAACTTGCACAATTGGTGGCTGACTAAATACTTTTTTTACCCACTGTATATATAAGTTCGATAAGACGTCTCTGTGTGTGTCTTGCACAGATGACCTGTCCTACATAGAGCACATCTTTGAGATCTCGCGGCGGCCGGACCTCTTGACCCGGGTCATCGAGTACCGCACGACCGTGCTGAAGATCTCCGAAGACGACGAGATCGACACCAAGCTCACACGCATCCCCTCGGCCAAGAAATACAAGGGTACGAACGAGTACAGTCTCTGTGTCCCTTTATTGAAATAGTAGCGTCTGTAACAGAGTTGTCCTTGCGTCTCTCCTCTCTGTCGTAGATATCATTCGCCAGCCGTCAGAAGATGAGATTATCAAACTGGCCCCTCCCCCTAAAAAAGCATAAGGTCAAAGTTCAAGACCTCTGCTCCTCATCCCCGGCACTTCATCTTGCCCATCATCGTCACCAAGCCCCGCCCACACCACCTCCTCCCACCGAACAGAAGCCAGGCAGCCAATCAGATCGCCAAGATGCTTTAAAGCCACGCCCATGCCACGGAGGCACAGACAACTGAACGAAAGACAAAGAAATGGACAAAAAAGACTTGCAGAATGGATCATCAGGTTGTGTGTCGGAGTGAAAACCAATCAGTCCGTGTTCGCTGACGCTTGTGTGGAATTGTGTGTGTGCGAGAGAGAGTTTATTCACACGCGTGATCCCGGGATCAGAAGTTGGTCAGACCAGCGCAATAGAGGATCCGCAGTCAAAGTGGCGACTAGTGTGAATCTAGTAATGAAACCGGTTTAGCCACTGATCGCTGTTCCTTTAGACACATTTACTCCCTGGTTAGTATCGTGGGTAGACTCCAGGTCCGTACATTCCCTTTAAAACACGACTCATATCAACATTTAAAAGTGTTACAGATAATTCATCTCTGAATCTGTGCGATTGCCACTTAGAAAGCCAATATTTGCCTTCCTTAGAAATTAAATGCATTATTGCAGGGTATGCAATTACCTAGTAGAGAACTGATATTGCTTTTTATATCTCTGTATGTCATACTTCTAGGAATTATAGTTTATTAAAGTATCAGTTATATAATAAGAATCATTGTTTCGTATCAAACGACAGCAGTGTATATATATATCAACGTAAACGGAGTTTGTCAAACTAACATGGGAGAAAAAATTAGACGTTTATCTTCTATTATTAAATGTATAACGGGCCGAAAAACTCTGTCTGTGGATGATTGGAACATGCTAGAACACAAAATGCATGGGGAAAGCAGGGGGGAAAA